TGAGCTGGTTCTGCTAGAATTGCTGGGGCAGCAGCGGGTTCACTGGCTGGTTCGGCTGGAATTGCTGGGGGAGCAGCGGGTTCACTGGCCGGAGCTGGTTCTGCTGGAATTTCTGGGGCAGCAGGGGGTTCACTGGCCGGAGCTGGTTCTGCAACAGCTGGCTTTGCTGGAACGCTGGCTGGAGCGGGTTCTCCTGGAGCTGCCACTGCAGGGCTAGTTCTGCTGGAATGGGTTGCTCTTCCACTCGAGGCTTGGAAAACTGCCGCCAGTACTGCTTGTAGAGGTTCTGCTGGCTTTCGGGCAAGACCGGCAAAGGTCCATCATCCTGCAATAAAAAGTAATAATATTTAAAACCAAATGAATGGAAGAGCAAAACAATCAGTTCGAGTTGAACAAATTGAAAGTGAAATCAATTGAGATCCGGCCTTAGTACGAAGGGCTGATTCCGGTTTCATGGACAAGTTCTGAGCTGCCAGGACATCTAGCCCACGATCAAGCGTAATGGCGCGGTGAAGCTGTGACACATGAGCGCCACTTGACGCGTCCAAATGACCCAAACTCATCCCAGCTCTGTGAAGGGAGGCTGCGGAAGCACTTGGTACCAAAGCCTCAGGAAAGCTAGTTGTGAACAAAAAGTTGCTATAATTACATGGTAAACTATGGTAAATAATATATCCTCGTCAACTTGAGCGTTCACTAAAACCGCGCCTCGAATAGGCGGCCATCCACGCCAGTATCTGTGAAGGAAGCTGATCTGGCCATCGTAGAATCGCTTCTGCCAATTGGAGGAGGACATACAGACTTTGGGATTGGTGCCGGGAATGGCGGCACAGGCAAGGCAAACTCAACTGTCTCCTGCTCCATCACCACATCTTCCTGCGAATCATCAAGGTTGATGGTTGGGCCGAAGAGCGGCTGTGATGAAGGGGGTAGCGCAGGGGGCACTGGCAGAGGTGGTGCCGGGATTGCCGGGGCTCGCGCCTGAGGTGCTGCCCCGGTGAGGACTGCTAGGTCGCAGGAACCGCCATCACAATGAGCAATTTGACCATCTATGAGCACGGCAGATGTGTTCTTGCACATCGCTTCAACCATCCGTGGGTCTGTCGCTGGAGCAGACTTTGCTGCCGTTGCTGGCCGGCGTCCAAGTTTGGTTTCGGGAGTTGCGTCAGGAGCTGGAGCCATCACTTCTTCAGGCGCTCGCGCCTTTGGAA